AGTCAAGGCCCCACTGTATGTTTTTAAAAAGTGTTCCTTTGTGCTCTAGGGTGACCGAAGAGCAGCCACATATCACTGGAGATGAGATCTTCTGGCTGTGCAGCTCAAACCAAGAAGAAAGTGATAAAGGCAGAGAGAGTGGGGAGTGAGGCCCTAAAAACCAAGGACAGGGGAGGCCAAACCCCAAAGGCACAGCATGGAATGCCAGCTGGGCCTTGCCAGGCCAAAGGGACAGGGCTCCTGCCACAGAGAAGCGGATTCCCCAAACAGGGTCTGCTCCAGCCCAGAGCCCCGCATACAGAGAGAAGTGGCCTTGTTTTTCAAGTATTCATCAGGGATGTCACAATCCTGGAGTGATGTCAAAACTGCCTCAAGGGTTATGAACTCTGGCCTTGAAGATGAGTCAACAGAGGGTGGGTTTCAGAGAGCAGCCTGCTGTTTACACACAATCCCCTTGGAGATCTGCATGCAGCTAGAAGGCTAGTCAAGGGTTGTGATGGCAGGCAGGCGGGCTCCTCACAGAGCCTTACAGCCTCCAGCAGAAACCACCAACACTCACCCGGTGCCCAGAATGCTCCCCCTCTCCAGCATCTATGAGACATAAGCATTCTGAGAGGGACTCACTCCACCCAAAACCATCCAGTGCCCACCTTGAAACACACAAGCAAACTGAACCCTTATGGCTCCCCACCCACAGGACCCAGCACAACCCTTCAGAGGGGGTATTCTGATTCCGCCTTTGGGAGATTCCTTCCGGTGACTCCACCTCCCAGAGTCTCCACCCTTTTCTTCACCACTCCACCACAGGGCTGATGGGACCAGAGGAAGTAATGTGTACAGCTCGGGACCGGTTACTTTCATCTTCAGGCTTTCTTAGGGGAGGGGGCACAAGATAGACCGACAGCAACCTCAGGCATTTGCAGGGCCACTCATGTTACCAACACTCACAGGAGCCTGAAACACTGGCATTTTAACTAGGACTCTAGACCACCATGTGACTCCCTTTCATAGCTGTGTCCCAGTGACTCAAGATCCCTCCCAACTTGAGTGGGAACCTGGGCCAGTGAGGACAGTCTGAGTGACCTCGGGCATGCAACAACGCTTCTCAGAGCCCAACTGCCCCCAAAGCACAGTGGGAACAGTAAGCTAGCCCTCCTGCCAGTGTTGTGAAGAACAAAGTGGTTTACAGGGGCCTGGCCCACAACCAGGAGGGGCAGTGCCACCTAGTCCTAAAGGTGGGCCATCTGTAAAGCAGACAAGGCTAGCAAGAAGCTCCCCTGATAGGGCCAAGTGGGGCACCCCCCAGAAAGGGGAGCCAAGCCTGCCTCCCAGAGCCTTACTGTGGGAGGGGAACAGAAGCTAAATTAAGGCTCCTCCTGCCACCGGTGCCGGGCTGACATCCACGCAGCCGCTCCCTGAGCAGCAGCGAGCAGCACCCAGCACAGCTCCAGAACAGTCCAGGGGTATTCACTGCAGACCTCCTGTACTTCCCCCTTCCCGAGGACAAAGTCCTGCAGCCACCCTCTACAGCTTACTGGGCCACCCTCCCCCCCATGGCCTCCCCAGCCCCTTATGTCTCAAGACCTGTGCACCTAGCTTTCCTGGACCCCTCACCCAGCAGACCTCAGCTGTGGCATCTCCTAGAAGCGCCACTCTCAATCACCACCCTTTCACATCACCTGTCCCTATGCCATCATGTTGCCCCATTTTACTTCCTTCCTGACACTGACCACTAACAAGTTCTTCGTGTTGATTTCTGTGCTGCCCTGTTCATTATGTCTCTTGCCTCTAGAACAGTGGTTCTCAACCTTGGCTGCACATTAGAATCACCTGGGAATCTTTTTAAAATCCTGATTTCTGGGCCTCATCCTCCAGAAATTGTTTCTTTGTTACTAATGTTGTGGCCTCACCCCATAACAAAGAAACAGAATTTCCAGAGGATGAGGCCGAGAAATCAGGATTTTAAAAAGATTCTCAGGTGATTCTAATGTGCAGCCAAGGTTGAGAACCACTGCTCTAGAATGTCAGCTCCTGGCACTAGGGGTATGCCTTGGTCACTTGTGAATGCCCAGCTCCTCAGCCGTGGATTGTGTCCACACTTCCTCAGTCTTCTCTCCCAGAAGTAACCCATCACAGCAAAAAAGGAGATCCACAGGAGTAGCTCCTTCAGGACTCACTTGAATTTTTATATTCAAGGAGAAGCCCCAAATCTGGATGGCTGGTGGCTGCGTGTATTACCACATCTTCACCTCCACCAAATTCCAGGCAGGCCCTATACAGACCAGGTGCTCAGTCAGATGCAGGTGGATGTAAGAGCTCAGGCCCCCTGTCTCCAGGGCTCTGCTCTAACCTCCAGGCAGGGACTGGCTCTGGGTAGAGGCACCAAGTGTACATGAGAGGTCAGGGATATGCTGAGGGGCACATATGTGCCAAAGGATCCCCACAGCCCCAAGAGAAGGAGGATTTGGAGCTCAGAGAGGGCCAGGTGCTGGGATCCTCAGAGCTGTGAGGAGAAGGATCTGGACTGGCAAGGGTCAGGCACTGCTCCAAGACCTCACACAAGCAGAGGTGAGATTCAGCTCCCAGAAGTAACCCATCACAGCAAAAAAGGAGATCCACGTGAGTAGCTCCTTCAGGACTCACTCGAATTTTTATATTCAAGGAGAAACTGCACAAAGCCCCAAGTCTGGATGGCTGGTGGCTGCGTGTATTACCACATCTTCACCCTCCACCAAATTCCAGGCAGGCCACTAGGTCTGCACAAAGGCAGCTCAGAGTTCAGATCCCGCTGGAGAGAGAAATTTCAGGGACTTCTACGGGAGCTGCTCCAACAGCTAGGATTACAGGAAGTTCCTGTCAGTCCCCTGCCACTTCTGAATTTGTACAAGCCTCTTCACAATTAAAAAGTAAAAACAAAAATCCTCTCCACAAATTGCCATTGGCAAACCATTTAACCACAGCACGAGAGAACAGGAAACGCTAGACACTATTAACAAAGCTGTGCACCTAAGGTTTTGTTAATAACCAATACACTGTTCTGGTCACACAAACAAGTTCTTCAAGTCGCCTTCCCCATGTCCAGCTCCCAAAAGCACCAAGAGCACCTGGGTCGCTCTCATTTTAGCCAGTCTAGCACATTGCCCAATGGGTATGATTCAATACAAAAATTGCCAAGTCACTTAAATTTCCAGACAGCTTCTGAGAAAAACACAGGTTTGGGTCCCCCGAATTTTAGCCCAGGCAGCCAAGTTGGCCAGGATGGCTTGAAGAAGCTCTTTGAGGGAGTCCCTCCTAGCGACGGACTCTAAGGTACACAGCTGGGCTCCATGTGGAACCTGCCCGAGTCTGCAGTTACCTTCACCCTCACATGAGGAAGATCTAGCTTTAGTTAGGGGATGTAACCAACACCCTAAATTAAAAATAGCTGCGTGACAGCATGAGGTGAACGCACAGGCAGGCCTTCCGGAGGACCCATGGATCCGGCAAGGGCAGCATGACAGGGAAGGCGGGGCTCCTAACCCAAAGTGACCAGGTACCAAGTTCACCTTATTACATGACTCATGAGCTCTCCCACAGCTGCCTCTAGGAAGTCTGCCTTCCTGCAGGACAAGTCACTCAGGACGGAATTCTGCAGGGAAGGGAGGCTCAGGCCAACCACTGTGCCCCTACCTCCTCCTGCTCCTCCTCCTCCTCCTCCCCAAAGGAGTGCCTCAGCCTCACCTTGAGGAATCTTTCTGACAAAATGAGAATTCGCTCTTACAAAAAAGATCAGGTTCCCCCAACTATTAAGGGGAAACTGAGCCATCAGAACAGGAAGAAAGTTGCCCAAAGAGGTGGGAAAAAGCACGGGAAGGGTGGGCACCTGGGAAAGAACAGGGGAAGAAATTCCCAGTTCAGCTAATGGTGCTGAACAAGTCCCGGGCAGGAAGAAAGCCACATTCCTTCCTAGTTAGTCTCTCCACACACCCGCCCAAGGCCCCCTCACCTCTGGTATACACAAGCGCACACACACACACACACAAGCACACACACCGACGGGGGCCTCCTCCGCCACTTCTGACTACAAGCCCCCACTTTCCAGGCAGGAGGCACAGAGCTCCTAAACCACCTCCCCGCAGGACCTGATCGCTGGGCACCTGCCACTTCTGTCCTCACACAGACTGAGTGCCATGACACAAACAGAAATGGGAAGAAGCAGGTCTGACCACAGTCCCAGCTGTGCCCCGAAGTCAGGCCTGAAAGAGGGTGCACAGCAGCCTCTTCCCCACCCCCTGCGCCAGGCCAGGTGGCAGAACTGAAACATCTTGAACTTCCCCAGATGGGCCCAAATGGACCCCTGAGAAGTTCAAAGCCAGCAGCCAGGTGCGGCGGCCGGAGCCCCCTCCCAGGTGTCCACCACCGGCTCCCAGCCCACATACACAGCTTGCTCCCCACAAACACTTCCACTCTCGGAAGGAGGTCTAAAGAAACAGGATCACCTGGGGGAAGGGGAGCGGAGAGGGGGTAGTTTCAGAAAAACTATCAATATCTACCCAAATCCCGCTTCCCAAGAACCCAGAGTGATCCTAACTCCAGCGGCCTCACTGGAAAGACTCAAAGACGGCGCCCCCACACAAACGGAACGGGACCCCACAGGTGCCTCTGACCCATCCTAGTGAGGACTCTGACGGAGAAGCCGCAGCCCCACCCCCACCGCTCTCCCCCGGCCAGGTGAACAGATAAGTTCTGGGCGGACAGGGAAGGGTCCCGGACGCCTCCAGGTGCCACACAAACGCCCCCCTGGGTCAGGCGCGCGAGTTCCGGCCCCTCCGCCGGCCTGGGCCTATCGCCAGTGTCGCCTCCCGGGACCAAGGAGGAACGTGATTCTCGCACCCTGCCGGCCAATGGGTCCACAAACAGCACCCCGAACGCCGGACCCCGCGCCCCGAGGCCCGGACGCCGGGCGAGGGGCACGCGAGGCCGGCCTGCACCCCGACGTCCCCGACGGCCACACCGCTCACCTGGCTGGCGCGGTAGGTCTCAAAGGCTCTCAGGGCACTGTCGGTGAGCTTCACGTGAAACACGGACACCTTGCTGCTGTCGCTCACCCGCCCGCACGACAGCCCGTAGCTCTGATCCTCCTTCAGTGCCGCCATCTTGCGACCATTGCTACCCGGCCCCCCTTCCCGGCTCCAGAGCGGGCGCGCCGGCCACGCCCCGCCCCGCCGCCTGCTGACGTGCTGCATTATTCATGAAGCGCTGCCCACGCCCTCTTCGGATCCAGCGAAGTTTACCGACGACGCCACACGGCCGGCCGACGTGCTGCATTATTCATGAGACGCGGCTGGCCACGCCCCCTGCAGCCGTCACGAAGCCCATAAGTCACCGCCCCGACGTTCTGCATATTTATGAAGGCTGGGTGGCCCACCTCAGGGGCGCACTTCCGCTCCTAGACTCCGCCCCGACACGCGCGTAAGTCCAGGCCCCGCTCATAAATATATTATTCATAAGTTTGACTCAACCAGGCGCGTCGAAGTCCCGCCCCACCAGCCACTGATGTGATGTATTATTTATGAGGTCTGTTTGGCTTCTGATGAGTCTTAATGAGAGTGGAGGGGGCGGGGCCGGCGCAAAACACGTGGAGGGCGGATCCAGCAGCTGGTCGGGTGGGTGGGCGTGGCCATGCAAACCAGCGCGCGTTGAACGCTGGGTTGGACAAGTAGGGTGTAAGGTGGGTGGATAGGATTAGATCTCCACCCTTACCCTTAGGGCTCTAAGGGATTAGGAGAGCCGGTGCACTTCGTTCATGATAAGAGATAAAATCTTTTAAGGGATAAAATTTTGAGGTGAGAGGAAGGTGAAGTTCAGGGACCTTCTGTAGGTCCCTGCCCAAATGATCCCCATGAGCCCTGACATATGGTTGTCCAGCTCCCCCATTTTTAAAAAAACGTTTTACATGTTACAAAATTAATCCATTTAAAGTGTAAAATTCAGTGGCACTTAGTATATTTACAATTCTGCGCAGCCACTATCACTTTAATCACCCAAAAAGTAAACTCCATACCAAGACACTCCCCACTGCCCCCTCCCCAGCCCCTGGCAAGCACTAATCTACTTTCTGTACCTATGGATTTGCTAATTCTGGATATTTCCTATCCATAGAATTATACATGTGACCTTATGTGTCAGGCTTCTCTCGGCATTGTTTTTGAGCTTCATCCATGTTGCAGCCTGTATCGTGCTTCATTCCTCTTTATGGCCAAGTAATAATCCATTGTGTGGATTGACCATTTTGTTTATTATCTGTTGATGACATTTGGGTTGTTTCCACTTTTTCACTATTATGAATAGAGCTGCTGTGAGCATTCACGTAGAAGTTTTTGTGTGGATAGATGTTTTCCCTTCTCTTGGGTCTATACCTAGGAGTGAAATTGCTAGGTCATTTGGCAATTCTGTTTAACTTTTCAAAGAACTGCCAGACTGTATTCCATAGAAACTGACATTTTATCCAGCTCTCATTGCACAGATGGGGAAACAAGGCTGAAGACAAGTGCTAGCTTGTCCAGGAAAGCTCCTGCTGGGCTCCTGACCTGTGGAGAGCTCTGGAGTAGTTTGCTTTCTCCCTTTAATTACAGATGGTAGTCACAGGATGAAGATTTTGAGGTGAGAGGAAGGTGATGTTCAGGGACCTTCTGTATGTCCCTGCCCAAGTGATCTTGTTAGTTCTAGGCCAGCACTACCATTCATTTGCTCCCTTGTCCATGAACTGCTGAGGATCTGTGCTCAATGCTTGGCATCCATGACTGCCTTCGGGGATGGATACAGTGGTTTGCACCCATCAGCTAGATGAGGAAACTGAGGCTTGGAGAAGTAAAAGAATTAGCAACACTGCAACCATGGGCTGCACTGCTTGGTAACAAGCATTTCTCCACTTTATACTCACTACCCCAGAGCCTCCCAGCAGGACCCCAGGGACAACAGCGGAATCACCAAGCATTGGTATATTATCCAAAAGTCTCTAAGAACTAGGTCACCCAAGAAATTGAAAGCCAGTACATCTCTTTGGAGTAGCCCCTTGACACATCCTCTACCTAGCAAGCTCACTGTAGAATCTCTAGCCCTAATATTGACTATGCTGCTGTCAGCTCACTGTACTACAGACCCCTCCATTATTGGTCTCAAAGAAGCACCCAATTAGGTCCCATCCAGGTCCCTGTTTTTAGTTAACAGAAACAAGGCAGGACTAGGTAATAGGCATAGGGAGTGTGAACTCCTGGGCACTCTAGGCACATCACATCACCCCAGTACCCAGTAACACAGGTCTGCTGTGGCCCAAGAGGAGACCCAATCCTCCCCACGCCCACAGCTCTGGCCCAGCCCTAAGTGGCAGTGAAAGCAGGCGGAATGCAGGATGGGAGGCTTTATTTCACTTGGGGGGTTGGGTGGAGCCTAGATAGAGGGCAGCAGGCTAGGCAGGAGGGGCTGGCAATTGTACAGGAACTGGATGGGGAAAGGGCTGCCCTGAGGCCTTGGGAAGGAGAAACTGAGGCAGGCCCCTGTTGAGACCTAACCCAGGGGGGAGTGGGAGGATAGGAATTGGGTCTGGAGGAATAAGGGCCCCCTCCTTCCCGGCTGGACATGGGGCCTGGGCCCTGCCTCATTTCCTCCTGTAGGGCCTCAGTCCCTCCTGCTCACTGGGCCATGCAACCCTCAAACCTCACTGTCCCTGCCCCAGAGGAGGGGGCTAGGCCAGAAAGGGTAGTGGACAGGGAGCCTGGGAGAGTTAGGGAGCGCGGGGTGGGGTCCACGGTGTTCAGAAGGGGTAGCAGCCACCTGGCAGTCAGTTCCTGGCAGCGATGACCACAGAGAGAGCCACGCCCCCCAGGGCAACAGCAGTTGCTCCAAACAGCCACTTCCATGGGATGGACTGTAGATAAAGGGGAGGGAGGAGATGGCTGGAGGGCAGTCAAGACTGATATCTTGGGCCTCAGGTACCAACAATACCCACACAGGCCTTTCACTGCCTAAACATGTATTTCCTGCCTCCTGGCAAACTCCTACATGTGCATCAAAACTCAAGCTAAATTTCACCTCCTCTGGGAAACCTCCCCTTCCCCTCTGGAAGAGCCATCACTCCCCACCCCAAATCCTACATGTTGTATTCCACCTTCTGCTTTGACCCAGGTCACATGGGACTAGGGCCTGTGTCCCCACTATGGTCCAGCACAGCCCAGGTGACAAGGACATCAATGTTTGCAAGATGAAGACACTCTCTTTACGTAGTCTACTCTGCCCTTCCACAAGAAGCCTCCCTGCCACCAACCCCAGCTCACCCAGGCACCCTTGCCAGGACACTTAGCAGGCAGCCGGCTGGGGTTGCCCAGCATTTTCCGGTACAGGGCGGTCTCTGTGCTCCGCTGGGCCGCGTGCTTTTTCACTAGCTTCGAGAGCTCCGCGTGGATCGTCTGGGAGAAGTGAGTGGTGGTTGGGTTAAGAGCATGTGGCAGCAGCAGCCAATGTGGCCACCATCACTGGCACTGTGCCCTTCTGGTGCCCTGGGTCACTCTGGGATTGGGACCACTGGAACACAAGGGTTCCATCTCTGGGTGTCAGCAAACTGGGGACTGCCATCTCCATGCCTCTAGGGAGCCCGTGGTCGGAGCAGAGCACAAGGTTCTGGGAGAAAAGCTGGGACATTGGCACTGGCCACGCTGATAGCACCCTTGGCTTCTGGGACCCATGTTCAGGATGAGCCTATGTAGGGGTCATAAGGGTCTCAGCACGCTGGCTGGGGCCCTTCAGCCACCGCCCCTTCCCAGGTAGAAACACAACAGGAAAAGCCACAGCAAGAATGGTAAATGGCCCAGCTGGTGTGGCTCAGCAATTGAGCACTGACCGAGGAACCAAGAGGTCACCGGTTTGATTCTTGGCTCGGGGACATGCTCAGATTGCGTGCTAGATCCCCAGTAAGGGGTGTGCAAGAGGCAGCTCATCAGTGATGTTTCTCTCTCATTGATGTGTCTATCTCTACTCTTCCTCTCTAAAAATCAACAAAAAAATATATTTTTTTAAAAAGGACAAAGGGCAGATGACAGAAGGGACTTCCCAGACAAGCCATAGGGCAAGTTCCCAAAGCACCTCTGTTGTTCTCACCTTGTTGGAAGGTTCCAGCTTCAGGGCTGCCCTCAGGATGGGTATGGCCTCGCTGTACTCCCCTTGCTGGGCCAGCACCTGTGAGAGAAAGTAGGTGGCATCACTCTGGACCCATACTAGGCCATGCTTTCTTTTTTCTTTTTTCTTTTTTTTTGCATTGACGGTAATTTCCAGAGCGTGCCATTTTATTTCAGTCATATAGAAGGCCCTTGTTTTTAGGAGATGGGTACTGATGTGTTTAGGTGGGAGGTATCACCGCAGCTAATTCATCCTTCAGGGGGAGTCGGGGGGTGGGGGGTACACACATACACGGAGAGGAAAGGTGACATCTGCTGAGTCTCCGTAGACGAGCGTCCCTTTGTATATTCAACTCGTTGGTTTGACATTTTTTTCAAAATAAAAAAATTGATTGCCTATTGGCTACTGCCTTCCGCCCCGAAAGCAGGGATCTTGTCTGTTTTGCGGACCGGCACTGGGACCCTGGATGCTCTGTACTTGCTCGCGCCTCTGGAGCCCCACTGGCAGAAGGGGAAACTGAAGCAGGGGAAGCAGCTTGCCCCCGACCACACGGCTGACGCGCGGCAGACCCTCACGCGGGTTGACGTGTTCCATGCCGCAGCACCCATACCCCGCCCTCGGGTGCCCGGCTTCTGGCCCTTCGTGGGGCAGGGCGTCCTCAGGGCGGTCCTCTCTGTCGTCCATCTCGTGCCCTGATCTCCCTAGGCCAGTGATAGCGAACCTTTTGAGCTCGGCATGTCAGCATTTTGAAAAACCCTAACTTAACTCTGGTGCTGTGTCACATATAGAAATTATTTGATATTTGCAACCATAGTAAAACAAAGACTTATATTTTTGATATTTATTTTATATATTTAAATGCCATTTAACAAAGAAAAATCAACCAAAAAAATGAGTTCGCATGTCACCTCTGACACGCGTGTAATAGGTTCACCATCACTGCCCTAGGCCATGCTTTCTTTCATGAAACCCTACTCTGCCAGGTTCCTGACCACCCTGACAAGTCCCAAATCTATCCCCAGGGGTCCAGTTACCCCATGCTATGCTCCTGAACCCTCAGACTCTAAGAGCACCCCTGCTGAATTCAGTGTTGTCCCCTAACCTTCTCCTTTCCTGAGTGTCTGTCTTGGCCTGTACAGGAGACCTGGTCACCCTCTTCATCTACTCCGCCCTCACCACCTGGACTGGACATTTCCAAAGCGATGATTCAGAACCAGCATGTGACTCAAGCCAGCCAATGAGATCCAGCCTGAAATATGCTAATGCCACTGGGAAGCTGGTTGTTAAGTGGCAAGGATGCAAGCCTGCAGCTTTTGGGGGACAAGAGGGAGCATCTTGGTTGCTCCCAAGAGAGGAGCCAACCTGAGAGGGCATCGCACAACAGACACAGTATTCCCACAACATTGCCAATGCCTGGATCCAACCCTGCCTGAACCCAGCCACAAGGGACTTGACTGTGTCACAAATCAAGTCCTCCTTTTGCTCAAATCTGTTCCAGTGAGTTTGTCACCTCCAACCAGCAAATCTAAACGTGTGATCTACATGAGCAGACAATCCCATGGCCACCAAGAGGATTATAAACCCCTGAAAAATTACAATAACATCATCTTCTCCACATTTCTATGAAAAACTCTACACATAGCAAGTGCTTAAAAAAATGCCACCTTGCCAAAACCGGTTTGGCTCAGTGGATAGAGCGTCGGCCCGCGGACTGAAAGGTCCCGGGTTCGATTCCGGTCAAGGGCATGTACCTGGGTTGCGGACACATCCCCAGTGGGAGATGTGCAGGAGGCAGCTGATCGATGTTTCTCTCTCATCGATGTTTCTAACTCTCTATCCCTCTCCCTTCCTCTCTGTAAGAAATCAATAAATATATTTAAAAATAAAAAAAAAATGCCACCTTGCCAAAACCGGTATGGCTCAGTGGATAGAGCGTTGGCCTGTGGACTGAAAGGTCCCGGGTTCAATTCTGGTCAAGGGCATGTACCTGGGTTGCGGGCACATCCCCGGTAGGAAATGTGCAGGAGGCAGCTGATCGATGTTTCTCTGTCATCGATGTTTCTAACTCTCTCTCTCTCTCCCTTCCTCTCTGTAAAGAATAAAATATATTTAAAAAAAAAAAATGCCACCTGGAGGGAGGCCCTGCTCAGGTCTCTCACAAACATGCTAGGTGGCCCAATGCTTGCTTGCACCTCAGTTTTCTCAGCTAACTGCTAAAAGGTGCTGAAAAATCCCTGTTCTTCCCCATCCAAGGTTGCTGTGAGAATGAACAGATGGAGACAAAAGCAATTACAGTAAAGTCCATGCAGGCCAAATTCTCTCCTATGTTCCACCAGCACCTACTGTGTGCCTAGCCCTCTTTGCAGGGTTAGAGATTTAGCAGTGAGTGAGACAGATGAAATCTCCACCTCCTAGCAGAGGAGATAGACAAGAGGTTTGACCCCTCCATGTGCTGATGGCAACGTGGTAAATATGAAGACAGGCAGGGTGTGGGGGGGGGGGGGCAGCAGGGAGGGCTTCCCAAAGAGGTGACATCAGAGCAAAGATCTTAAGAGGGCAAGGGAACAGCCATGGGGGTACCTGCAGTAGGAATGTCTCAGGCAGAGGGAATTACCTGTGCAAAGGCATTGGGCAGGGGTCCACAAACTTTTTAAACAGGGGCCAGTTCACTGTCCCTCAGACCGTTGGAGGGCCGGACTATAGTTTAAAAAAAAACTATGAACAAATTCCTATGCATACTGCACATATCTTATTTTGAAGTAAAAAAACAAAACGGAAACAAATACAATATTTGTATTTGCATGTGGCCCGCGGGCCGTAGTTTGAGGACCCCTGGCATTGGGTAATGAGGCTGAACAGGATGGAGAGAAGCAAGAGGTGAGGTGGAAGGTGCCAGCAGAAGGAAGATCAGATGGCTCAAAGCCCCAAGGGCTGCAATAAGAACTCGGCTTTTGGACCTAGCCAGTGTGACTCAGTGGGTAGAGCATCGGCCTGCAGACTGAAGAGTCCCAGGTTTGATTCCAGTCAAGGGCACATGTCTGGGTTGTGGGCTCAACCCCCAGTAGGGGGTGTGCAGGAGGCAGCCGATCAATAATTCTCTCTCATCATTGATGTTTCTATTTCCCTCTCCCTTCCTCTCTGAAATCAATAAAAAATATATTAAAAAAAAAAAAAAAAAAAGAACTCGGCTTTTGTTCTGAAGAAGAAGGGAGCCATGGAGGATTGTATGCAATGAGCAGTCACCATTGGGCCACAGGGAAATGTGTGGGAGCCTAAGGCTTGGGTTCACGTCTGGCCTCAGTCAATGAATTGCTGTGACTCAAGTCATACCTCTGCACCTGTGTGGGCCTTAGTTTATCTGCCCTTTTCAAATCCTGGATTCAGAACCAGTCCCACTGGTCTGGGTTCAGGGAGCCAGCCTGCCACCTGCACCTGTGGCCTATGGCCCACCACCCATGGCCCACCTTGCCCTTGCGGAAGAGCGCCTTGATGTTGTCAGGCTGGTGCTCAAGCACGAGGCTACAGGAACGCAGCGCGGCCCGGTAGTGGTCTAGCTTCAGCTGCGAGGCTGCCAGGTTGTTCAGACACTTCACCTTCAGCTGCAGAAGCTGCTCCTCCTCCTCAAATGTCATGTCCACTGTAGACATCGTGCCCTGTGGGGGGGGACACCCCCCAAATTTAGAGGGTCGCAGACCAATATCATGAACGGTGGAGCCACTCGGTCAGACTATACACACTGAGGAGGAAGGCGCCCGCTCTCCTCCACCGT